AACGACTGGTAATTGAGATGTCTGTATCGGGGTATCCCAAATCTGTCGAAAAATTATTTTACGTTGCACTTATTATTGAGCTATTTACTATTTATTATACATTAATAACATTTTATTTGAAATTTAAAAATTTAATTATGAATCTTATTTTTATAATATCTATCTCATAATTAATCAAATTGACAAGATTTGTGTTTATCATCTGAAATTAGTCATTGCTAATTTTTGAGTTGTAATTTTTATGATCAATTTTGCTCCATGTTGCTGGTTGCCACATTCAAAATTCATATTAGTCTATATAATATAGATATTAATTTTAATTTTATGTGCATTTTTTATGAACATAATACGTCATTCCAAGTTGTTATATAATAAATCACAAGCATTACGTCAAATAAAAAATAGGCTTATATGTTTGTGAATAAATTAAAATTATAGAATAAATTATTTCATCGCTTGTTACCTCTCTCAGGTTTGAATGTAGTTCAAAAATCGACATATCTAATGATGTGTAAACGATTCCTATGATGGCGAGCAGTAAAATTTCCATATTGAGAGGAACCCCCAAAACTGATCCAAGAGAATATCGCATCTTGGATTCCCAAACCATCCTGGATAAATATTTTTGCAGTGAGAATTTTACTAGAATTTATATTCGGCATATTTATGGATTTTTCAATTACATTTTTTGTTTTATAGAGATAATGACAGACAGAATTGACATATGGGCAATTTTCATACTGGAAAAATCAATTTTATATATTTAAAGTCCGATGTATTTTACAAATTCAATAAGATATAATCAACCGCCAACAACTTTTTCAAAGCTTTCAAAAAATCTTATATTAATGTTGGTCGAAAGTTGTTTATTTGCCATGCTTTGTTGTGATAACTCTATTCGCTGCTTTCAGGATGGAATAACTGCAAAAATATATAACTAATTTTTAATTTTGCAAAAGGAACTCCATTATATTTTTACAAATTATTCTGTAACATTTAAAATAATTGTATTCTTGCCTACACCATGCCTATGTATCAATATCTATATAAAATAATGAAATAATGTTAAACGATTTAAACATGCATACCTATTTTATTAAATTATTTAAAACTAATAAACAATTCTTATATATGTTAATAATGAGGTTTAGACTTCGATAAAATAAATTGTATCAAACAAGTTTATGCATTCTTACATAATGTATGAATATTTAATCATAGACCTTGTAATATACTGCTAGTCCTCATACATTTCCCTGTTAAAAAGTGTCAAAACATAAAATGCGGTAGTGACGTCACCGGGTGAACGAGCGTTGCCGAGAACTGTGGAATATTCTGGCAATCCATATGTATACTGTCTATGTATTTAAGGGGCTCACCTAGTGTGAAATTTTTAAAAAATCGAATTTTCAATTTTTCCATATTTCGATAGGTTATCTTGAATAGTTTTTGAGTCACAGCCATTTAGTATAACGATCATTTTAAAGATAAGGATAATAAACGTGTTTTTCTTGAAACAGCATTTTCCGAATTTGCTGCAATGATTACTCAAAAACAAATGATCCGATCACTATCGAATTTTTTTTACATGTTTTTTTTTACATATATAGTTCTCCGTACAATGACCTATCGATTTTTTGATCTGATCAAAAATCGAATTTTGGCAGGCCAGAAACGACCAAAACTTTAGGTAAAATTCGACTATCTTTTTTAAAACGACATGGACCGCTAAATTTATCAATGGAGAAAGCTGCATTCACTCCAGCAGTGGAGGTCCTTTTTTGGCGCCGCCGGAGATTGCGTGTCATTTCAAAAATATTTAATATTTTATTTCAAAAATTTACTCTGTATTCTCAAGACATGTATAAATATACCCTCAAAATTTTAAAAAGATTTATTCACTGGTTTTTATTATTTTTAATTTCCCATAAATAACCTTTTTTTAGATTGTCACACTAGATATGCCCCATAACTCATATATTTCTTAGGAAGGAACTTTGTAAAAATGATTCAAACGCGCAAATCAATGTACATCAATTATTAAAAACCATTATGGAACGCCTATAGAGATCCTGGTGAAATTTAGAAATATAGAATTCAATTTTTCTTAATTAAGAAATGAACCTGCTTAATTTGTTCCAAGTTGTTCTGTATCAGTTAATACATACGCATCTACCCATATCGTAAGTTATCTTAACCCATATATTTAAATGTCCAAAGATGATTGAAACACGCAAATCAATTTCCTCCAATTATTAAAAACCAATAAAGAACGCCTTTAGTTATTTTAATCTGCCGGAGGTTAAGTTATTAGGCCGAGGTTACGTCAAGGCCAACGAATAAACGCCGAATGGTCGAATCAGAGTTAAAAATACCTTTTGGCGAACGAGAGCTATGAGGCTACGAGGCTATGACGCGCCTGTCACACAGATAACGTAACCTTTTGCGAGACACGTTCCACTGTGTTGGTTCACTTTTCTGTTTATATTGGCATTTGATTTCAACACATTGGACGCCACGATAAGGTAACTTCTTAAAAAATCTTCTTTAATGAAAAAAACTTATAGAGTATTTCAATGAAGCAGCATAGTGGATTTTCACTGAGTTTCACTACATATGATAAATTTAATTATATATGCACTCTTTAAAAAAAATATACTATAATGGCGAGATCCTATAATGCAAAACTATACCTACTGATTTTTCTTCAATTTTAGGGCTTTTGAATTCGTTTTGATTTTAGAAGCATTTTAATTTTTTTTTTTTTTTGATTTATGTTATAATTGTGGTATTACTGTTTTTATTTTCTTCTTATTTCAACTTTTTTAATTTATTTTCACTTTATTGTATTTTTCCTTTTTTGCACATATCCATTTTGTAAATAAGACATTGAAGTCTTGTTTGACAAAAATATATTATAACAAAAAAAAAAAAAAAATCAAAATTTTTCATATATATTTCTATATTTGCTTGAAATACTCATAAGCTTTCAAATATAAAAATTCGTGGGTTATTTTATAATATTATTCGGTTTTGTTACAATTATTTTTTTTTGTAAAGTACAAATTTCTCGTATGGGAATAGTGTTCGATAATACCTCTACCACTTCAACAAATTTGCTTATTATTCCTCGAAGAAATAGGTGCAAATACTTCCAAAAGAAAAATGAATGTTTATTTAAGTTTATTTAAATATAGTATTTTTCATTCTAGTCTAATTTCGTCTTTGACTCGCAGCCAGCAATAAAAAATCAAATGTAAATAAAATATTTATCACGTAGAAGGCAAAAATTGAGGCAGGCAGGCTTAAGAATATGACATATGTTTATACTACATAAATATGTGAATTGTATATAGATTCTCTAATTTTTTTATGAATTTCACGCTATTTTCACAAGTTAATATAGTATTTTTAAGCAAAATATGCATTCAGACATTCTTCGAGCGAGAAATTTTGAATTTAGTCTGTTTTGGACTGTGTCCAACACTATGACTCAGACTATGGTTGCCCATTTCTGGCGCATACTACTTGAATGTCCAGTTCTTAACTATTTAAATTGAAAATACTTAATTGCACAATTTTCATCACTGTCATTATTTTATGTTCAATAATTTATCTGCCCTCGATTGGCTATTTTTTCGTGCAGTCCATTTTAGACTTCTGAGCATGTCATGTCTTTGTTGCATGAGCTTGGTAAATACAAGGTTCAGATTTGGTTCCTAATTGGTCAAGCTTAATATCTAGTGGTAGCAATATTAGTATCATATTAAATTCCTCGCTTAATTCTTTTGAATATTTGTTTGACTGACCTGGTAATTTTTCAAGAAAGGAGCAAAAAATACCACGAAAAATTACCAGATCACCCAAAAAAATATTTAAAAGAATTAAGCGAGGAATCTCCTACTCGAAGATTAAAGAAAAAATGGCCATACGATCTTAAATAAAATGTCAAAAAAAGAGATATCTCATAGGAGACAATCTGTTAAATGCATTTATACCCAGCATATTGTCTTAAAAAATGTATATTATTTTGATCAGCAATAAATCTATGCAAATAAAATAAAAATTATGTCAATTATATAATATGATTTCAAATAAAAATAGTTTTTTGGAGTATTGCTGTACATATTTACAACAGTGTCATTAGAAAAAGTTCAATAAATAATAATTTTATTATTATACAGATAGTTAACCACTGTATCGCCTTCTAATAACAATAGGTCAAGGAATTACATCACAACAGCTTCTAGGACACATTTTATTATTTATATTTTCTTATCAGCAATCGGAAATTAACGAGTACTATAAGCTGTTGTGCTAACTTCTTAAACTAATTAACTTTCTAGAGATGGCAAATTAAACGGTTGTGTGATGAATTTATTAGTGAAATTTTAATAAAACTGCTTTGTTAAGGCAGTTTGAGATAGTTTTTACTTGGAAACATATGCTCTCTATATTTTCAAAAAAAATGTTGACATTAGGCAGTCGAGTCACTGCTGCTTCACATTAGGCTTCGAAACGTATTTCGAATTGTCTCAAGACAAATTTGATCTGAAGTCTGTAGTCGTTACTACTAGGCCACAGGAGAGCTATATAGCATACATAGTTATGATTTCTGTTCAAATATATGAAAAATATTAGTTGGCTTATACAGCCGACACCAATGACGATATAAATACCAAATACCATACTAATCAAGAGTAAGACAAAAATTGTAGACTGGTGATAACAAAGATGCTTTCTTAATTTTTTATTAAATTATTAAAAGGCAAAATATTGCAAACCATGCAATCAGCGATCCTTCAATCTTAGAAGTATTTTTCTCAGTAGTCTATTTTCATCTTTTTCCACCGGCAGCCAACACCTATGTCCGTCCATTCCTGGCGCATATTGGAGCTCACGTGTCCAGCGAACATCGATGCGTTGTTATTCTCTTCGGCGTGTTCGTGACTGACGTGCTATTAATTTGTGTTGGTGTACACCGATCGTTCGAGTCCGCAAAGACTCGGTTTATTATGCCAGCATCCGCGGGACAACGGGTTTCGCACAAAGTTGTTTTTGCGATCATTGAAATGTATTTAGTGCGTCTTTGAATCGACTTAATAAGATACCTACGTAAGTGGAATTGATTAAGAAACGTAGGTCCTTAATAAAAGACATAGGACCTTAATAAGAGATACAGGCCCTTGATAAGAGATACAGGTCCTTTGATGCGACGCAGTACCTCTGCCAACCCTTAGGAAAGACGGTGGAGTAGCTGATGTGTGGGATATAGTGTGTTCGTGAATTTTGTGCAAAGGAATAGTGAAATAAGAGATTTGTTTAGTGAATATTGTAACACTGGTTGTTCTACTGTTGCTGTTTTATTATTTAGTGAAGAGGAAAGGTAGTTTATCAGAGTCATAACTTTAATCCAAGCACGTAACTGGTATTAGTACAGCGTAAATATTACATAGATATAGGTATAAATTCGGCATTATTGATGTATAATTTTTGCGAAAGTCAAATTTGAATGATAATTAAGAAATGACTGTAGATTATTAAATAAGAGTCAATAAAAAAAAACAATTCAATGACATTATTTTGATGTAATGCCAAATAAGACAATTAATTATACTACTTGACTTAGTGGTGTCCAACCTGTGGGGAGCGATTTCTTAGGGGATTGGATGTTTTGAAAGGGGGTGTATAGCTGTTTCAGAAATTAGAAATGATACAAAAAATGAGCAAAAACTAATCATATTTTATGCTTTTACATAATATTGTATATTAGTTTGTACTTTTTTTGTTTTGTTTTTTTATTATACTAGCTCTAGTAGATACGACACTGGGGGTATTTACTAATTTATAATCAACTAATTATAAACAACTTGTCAGCATTCTCTTATTATTGTAATTATATATACAGATTTCAGAATAAAATTAATTGAAAAAAATTACTCTGACAAGTGCAATTAGAATGGGAGTTGCAGTGCAAAAAAGGTTGGAAACCACTAACTTTTTTTATTTATTTCTAATTTACTCACAACCGTTCAGTTAAGGGCATTTAGTAAATTTTGGGAATTTTCAATTCTACTAACTTAACTCGTAATTAATTCGTAACTGGTAACTATTAACCAAGTTAATATTTATACATTATAATATAAAAGCTTAACTACGAGTAATACGTTATAACAAGTATTGACAATTATTGCATTTATTATTAAATCGATAAAATTTCAATAACAAACTAAAGCATATAGCACTATCATATATATATATATATATATATATATATATATATATATATATATATATATATATATATATATATGTATATATATATAAAGAAACTCGAGTTCTCTATACTACGAATATTGTTTATTATGACAATAGTAATAACACTATGTGTGATTATATTGATCATTTACAAAAACGTAGATGTTATTTCAGTATTTATAATAAAAAAAGGAAAAAAGTTAAGAATTATAATTTTGGCATTTCGAACATTGAGCAAACAAAAACGAGATCTGATCTGACACTTCAATTTCCTTTTGTTTTTCTCAGTGCTGTCACTATATGGGCCAATCTGTCCAGAGACATGTGATGCGTGTTGACAAGCCGCTATGCGTGTTGGCAACCCGCTACATCACTCCGCCCTAATGAAAAAGATTGTTTCGCATCTCTGACTGCCATTCTTGAACTTCCTTGTAAATTTCTTTTGGTTGAGATTGTGTGATAAATTTTATTTGTTTGTGGCCGTGGCCGTTTTGAATGCCGTGTGGCGGTTGCCAATGTTTGCTGGTGCTCATAATCGACTCATTTTCCAGGATAATGAGGGATTTATTGAGCACGTGTTGTTGTTGATCTTGAAGTGCGTGGTCGGAGTCTCGGTTGTATGCTTAGAATGCTCTTCGAATTATGGAAGTTGTGAGCCATTTATAATAATTATTTATATTTTTAAAAATTCTTTTCTTAATAATTCTTGAGACTTCAATTTATTTTTTTTTCTTGTGCTACTTCAAAATATCTCTTGATCTTCTTACCTTCTTGTATGTGTGTTGCTAGTTCACTTCACCAAAATATGGAGGTGTAGTAGTCCTCCATATTAATACCAATATTATCCAAATTGTAGTCATAATAAATTCCATAAAATATTATTTATATTTGGTTTATTTTATATATGATTAATATCCACGACACTATGTGTTGTCATATTTATCGTTAATAAAATGTGATTGGTATTTTCTTATTTATAATCGAAAAGAAAGGTTTTGAAAATTATACATTTTGGCAAGTTCGACTAGGGAGAAACAAAAACCGTGTCCGATCTGACACTTGAATTTATTTTTTGTTTTTCTCAGTGCTGTCACTATATGGGCCAATCTGTCCAGAGACATGTGATGCGTGTTGACAAGCCGCTATGCGTGTTGGCAACCCGCTACATCACTCCGCCCTAATGAAAAAGATTGTTTCGCATCTCTGACTGCCATTCTTGAACTTCCTTGTAAATTTCTTTTGGTTGAGATTGTGTGATAAATTGCCGTGTTGGCTTGTTGAGTTTGTTGATTGCTTACGTGGCCCTTCGCTGGTGAGTTAGCGGTTGAGTAGATGTGGCCCTTCGCTGGTGAGTTAGCGGCTGAGTATATTTGACACTTCGCTGGTGAGTTAGCGGTTGAGTGTATGTGGCCCTTCGCTGGTGAGTTAGCGGTTGATTGTATGTGGCCCTTCGCTGGTGAGTTAGCGGTTGATTGTATGTGGCCCTTCGCTGGTGAGTTAGCGGTTGATTGTATGTGGCCCTTCGCTGGTGAGTTAGCGGTTGAGTGTATGTGGCGGTTGCCAAATTGTTTGCTCCCTGTCTGCTGCCATGGTGCTTATTATCGACTTATTTACCATGATAATAAGTGATTTATTGAGCACGTGTTGTTGTTGATCTTGAAGTGCGTGGTCGGAGTCTCGGTTGTATGCTTAGAATGCTCTTCGAATTATGGAAGTTGTGAGCCATTTATAATAATTATTTATATTTTTAAAAATTCTTTTCTTAATAATTCTTGAGACTTCAATTTATTTTTTTTTCTTGTGCTACTTCAAAATATGTCTTGATCTTCTTACCTTCTTGTATGTGTGTTGCTAGTTCACTCTCGGGGTCACCAAAATATGGAGGTGTAGTAGTCCTCCATATTAATACCAATATTGTGCAAATTGTAGTAATAATAAATTCCATAAAATATTATTTATATTTGGTTTATTTTATATATGATTAATATCCACGACACTATGTGTTGTCATATTTATCGTTAATAAAATGTGATTGGTATTTTCTTATTTATAATCGAAAAGAAAGGTTTTGAAAATTATACATTTTGGCAAGTTCGACTAGGGAGAAACAAAAACCGTGTCCGATCTGACACTTGAATTTATTTTTTGTTTTTCTCAGTGCTGTCACTATATGGGCCAATCTGTCCAGAGACATGTGATGCGTGTTGACAAGCCGCTATGCGTGTTGGCAACCCGCTACATATATATATATATATATGTATATATATATATATATATATATATTTAATATTGTTATACGAGTTATGAAAAATGAGTTGAACTTACGTTTAAAAAAAATTAATAGGTCTTTACGCAAGTACATAAATTAAATAACATACTTCATTGCCAATCATATTTATTTATTAATTATATTACCATAATTATTAAATAATTCTTTATAATTTCATTACTTAGAATTAAAACTTCAGATAACTTTCTCTACTACTTTATGTATCAAAATTCTTGCTTATGTCTTTTTTATATTTATTTTTTATTACCATGTAAACAAGTTTATTTTTTCAATAATTCCTAAAAATGTATCAGCAAATAGTCTAGGATACTGCTCACACGTGTTTTATAAATTTTAGTTTAATTAACATTTATTAATTAAACAGGGTCACTTGACACAGTATGAAACTCGTAGTAAAATAACTGTTAGTTTGAAAATTTGCTAATTAATAACTAGGAAATGTTCTCTGAGTATATCATTAGCAAATTATGTATACATATATATATATATATATATATACATATATATATATAAATTATTAATTCAACCCAGACTTCAGTTTAATTTATCAATTCAAATTTTTCTTTGCCTTGGTATTAATTGCATTCAATAAACTAAAAACGTTTTAATATTTATTATCCTAACAGTGTTGCTCTAAACTTGCATATATTTCGGTAAATATTTTTCTGCTTACTCAATCTCACAAAATTTATGATTAGATCTAATTTTACTCGTATATTTAGCAACAGAAGCCATGTGTGCAATCTCCTTGAAGTAAAAATATTTTGTTTAAGTCGAAAATAATATTTCGGGAGATCATTTTAGATTATTGTTACTTCTATTGATAGAATAGGATATTTGTTGAAAACTACACAAATTAATTGAAATAATTATATTCGTTGAATAACAAACAAATTTGTTGATTTTTCAATTAAACATTCTTCGTAGACTAACTTCATTTTATTAATAAACAATGAAAAAATCTTGGCAATAAATATTTATATTACATATTAAGAAATATAAATTTTCAATTAATAATTCTTTGTGAATACTGTATTAATTGTTCGATTGATATAAGCAATTCGCATTATTTTATATATTTATTCATATCGTTTTGGAACAAAAATTAATACAGACAATTCATTATTGTTATTTTCTTTTTTTTAATTTTATTTTCAATAGCAATCAGAATACAGGATAATTTTATGATTTCATTGTTATTTAATTTAATATGTAATAATATTTTAATAATGAACTATGTACTAGTCCCTGTTTTGGTCATAAATTCTTATACATTGTTACTAAAAATAATTTTTTCCGTCACTTTCAATGTATTTTAGTTAAAATTGTGCGGGCTTGACACAGTTGGCTTGTAAATCGCCGATTCGGAATATCCAAGGCCTTTGTCCAAACTTCGCGTTTGTCAATGTCAAAGCAACATGTTCGAATTCATTGTCATAAACTTATTTGTATGAAAACAAATTCATTCATACATTACTGTTTTGATTTGATAAAGATTTATCTCGAACAGCTTCTTAAAGGATCACGAACTTTGATCGCCACTTAAATCAAATGGAATAAAACGCTCGGTATTATTGTTTTGGACTTACAGATTGATTGCTAATAAATAATATTTGGATTTTTATTTAAATTATTCATAATAGATTACTGATATTTTTTACAAAATCATACTGAGAGCATTTTATTGTAAATATTATCAATTTTCTTGCAAATTTCATTTTACTTCAAATCTAACAAAAATAAATTTCTGTAATGACAGTATTTGATAAATAATAAAAAAAAAGTTATTAATTCTATCAGCCATAATATGAAATTCATACATAAATAAACATCAAGCAATGAAGGAAAAAATAAACAAAACACAAAATATAGAAAACACGTATATAAAAAGAATAAAAATGCACATTTAATGAAATTATAATTTATTTTGATGAAAGTGATTCTTGATGTTTTTTGGCAACTTACTTTCTAGCGAAAACCGTATTTAAATGAGTTGATTAGAATTTGTTGATTCAAATTTTATAAATTATATATGGTCTTCACTGGAATTAAATATTTTATTAAGACTTTAATTAACTTCTCTATTTTTTCAGTATATTATGCTTTTAGTTTTGGTGATTAGTATATTATGCTTTTAGTTTAATTATAGGATTGGTAATTGTATATAAACATACTGATTATTAAAATTATTATAATTAGCAAAAAAAATTCACTATTTTGAAAATTGCTTGGCGTGTAGAGCGTGTAGAGGGTTGAAAAATGATGGAAATTGCAGAGCATAAGTAGTAATAATAACAAAAAAAATTTAATATTAATTTAAAACAAAATATTTTTTTAAAAGATGTTTATCGTCCCGGCCTGGATCGAACTACCTTGTTAGAAAAAATAAAATTGATGTTTAGAAAGAAAATATCTAGTAATAGCATCCCTAATTTAAAAGATGTAGGGCCGTAAAATTTTAGTATGGTCTTTAAACTTTTGGAAGTTTTTAAATTTTTGTATAACAATTCTATCATTTTTTGGACAAACTGCACATGGAGTTGCTATCCAATTCAATATAAAACCCAAGTTTGTGTCATAATTATTTGAGTTTAAGTGCAATATGCAATTTATTCCATTTGTGACATAATAGAAGAAGCATTATTACGATGAGACTATTACGCAATGAGTAGCATTCGTTTTTGTCATACCACCTCTTACTTACTCAGTAATTATAATGGATCTACGATTAATTTGAAAAATAATGTGCAATATGAAACACTTATAGAAATGACGTACTTTGAGAAAATTGCAAACTTATAAATGCCTTCCCATATATACTGGTGATACACAAACAAATTGTAAATGTGAAGGAAAATATGTTTTTGCTAATATTTATAGGACAGAATAACAAAAAACTGTTAATTTCAAACGTGCTTAAGTTATTGACTCAACCAAGAATAACTGTAATAAAAATAAATTAAAACCCACATGTTTTTATCTAAACATTTAAAAAGAAATTTGTATTCATTTCGTGAATTTTGTATTATAATTATTCTGCATGTCTTTTTGTGATCAATTACAATAGCCTGACAATTGTTTCACCGAACCATAAATTTTTTATAAGTCAAAAACTATTTAAATGAAAAACCAACGTAGTATTTTTTTTCTGTTAAATTTCAAATAATTTATATATTCGGCCTAATTTTATTCCATTGTTATTCAACTATTTAAAATGTGCAATTTAAATTATTTGTCATGTGTTTGTATAATCATATGCCCCTTGAATATTTTAGCATAAACAATCGCATTTTTTTTTAAATACTGCATACAAACATAATCAAACATAATATAAATAAATTAATTGAATTTAAAATTAAAATCATAAATTTCGAAACAGCATGCAATTTTAACCTATTTAAAATTTTATACATTTGGGCAAATATAATTTCAAAATCATCATTACAGAAAGATTTACAAATTAAGTAGTTAAGCACAATTTTGCGATAAAAGCAATCGCTTATATAAAGATTACGAGTAAGATAATTTAGGAACATATTTTTATGTTCAATTATAATTTATATTAAACAATCAGTTTTTTACTAATATCCAAGAACACTTTGTTAATCCCAAATATGTATACATTTCAAACTGATTTTAAAAGCCAGACAAACACGTAATAATATTTGTTATTGACCTACGAATATAAAAACGTTTTCACGGTCATAATAATTAATCATATAGAAGCTAATAAAGCAAGCAAACATATGGTGTTAGAAAAATCTCGAATATTCTGCTGTTTCCTTAAGCTAGTAAAATATTGTAAATAATTACTAACTTATATTTCTGATGACTTATTTCCTGTATTGCGGTTTATATGAATTTATATGATGTCATACGTTTGATCTTGATTATTTCTTTAATACAATGCATTGCTCATTTCCTTATATGTCCCGGCGACGTTGTTTTGCAACATACGCCTAAGATAAACTAGTCTCGTAAGATACAAACATCACTTTCGCTTTTGTTTAGAAATAAGATAAATTAGTTAATTATTTTAAATTATCATAAAAGATATCAATTTTAGGAATTTCAATTTTTCAGATACTTTAGGCTTACATCTAAGCGAATATAACAGCGTGAAATCATACACATTGTTTTTACGTCCAACTTCAGACATTTTTACTAGTACATTAAATGTAATAATATTTGTAGAGAGTGAATACAACCAAAATACTACACCCAAAAATTGCATTTTTTTTCGAGTCACTATAACTAATCTAAACCAAACAGTGACCAATATCGGCCAATATCGGACAATATCGGACAATATCGGTCAATATCGGTAAATATTAGTCAATATTGGTCAATATTGGTCAATATTGGTCAATATTGGTCAATATTGGTCAATATCGGTCAATATCGGTCAATATCGTTCAATATCGTTCAATATCGGTCAATATCGGTCAATATCGGTCAATATCGGTCAATATCGGTCAATATCGGTCAATATTGGCCAATATTGGTCAATATCGGTCAATATTGGTCAATATCGGTAAATATTGGTCAATATAGGTCAATATCAGTGGAAATAAACAATTCGGAAGAATGAACAAAAAATACATTAAAATGTTGTTACATTAAGCATAAAAAATAGCATAAATTATTAAAACTGTCTGTGTTTATGGGATTTAATGGATAAAGTTTTAATAACTTTTAACCAGTTTTTTGGGAACACTGATTATTAGACTTATCCAATGCAAAGTTAATATCTGTATTTATAAAAATGCCAATTAAAATACTATACACTTTTCTCTGAGTAAAGTAAAAGTCTGGGTTTTAATCCAGTAGAAGAGCATTTCTAAAACATTTTATTGCTTGAATATTGTGTGCATAATGATTTCAATTGGTGATCTCAAATACTAACTAAACTATTATTTTCAATGTGAAAACTATGATTTATCCCCCTTCCAGCCAAAACAATGGTTTCGTCCCAGAAAGTCCCTTTGGGCAGTTGCTGCCGTTGCTACACTCTACGGACGGGCACCATCTTCAGTGGTGTAATGGGAATATTATTGGCGGTGGTCGCCTTAATATTGATGTTTTGCACTTCGGTCGAGTTCAAGACAATAACCATAGTCAGTCTGCCATCGTGGATCGTAAAGATTATATTAGCCATTAATCTAGCCATGACTGTTCTCATATCGGTCATGTTGATAATAGGAGCCGTTAAGGTGAGTTTACTGCAAGAGAAGGTAGCGATGTGGAAAAGGATGTGAAAATTGTAATAAAAACTTACTATCACTCTATTAAGGACACACTCATACATACACATGTATATATATTATAAGTAGACTTTTTCAATAGATTCAATATATTTATTATCCTATCAAGTGAGCCCAGTCCAAGTCTTGATTGTGCTTTGTTTCGCAATTTCCCTGTATCTACAAAAGATTATGCAAATCCCTGTTGTTCATAGTTCTGTTCTGTTACATAATATGCATTCTGCATCAAATAGCAGTCCATTTCAATAAAAGACTAAAAACATACGATATTTCCGATAGCGAAATACATTCCTGATGCTGCCTTGGGTCTTACTAGGCATTTTACTTGCAATCGGTTTGCTGATATCTATTATTTACACAGCGGTCATGTTTTTCATAGACGGAAACACATTAAATGGCTGTCTATGGTTGGCCTTTGGAATTGTATCAGTCAGTAAGTAGAAAATAAGTTCTAAGTGATTTTTTAACCATTTATTTTATAACCTAACAATTGCTTGTGCTTGTCCTATAGAACATTCATAGTCATTCGTAGTAATAATTACCGAACTAATCATATTATATCAATTCACAAATCAAATACATCTTTCCATAATATATCATATAAAGGAGCCAATTCTCAAATAAAGCAAGTCTTAATATAGTGTTACCATAACAACGCTATGTTATAGCCTATTTTATCGGAAATTTATGGTCCCCAAAAATCTTAAAAATAAAATTCATTATCATTTGTAAATTTAGATCAAAAATATATTTTTATGTGAAAATTAGTTTTGGGCATCGCTCCTGAAGAAAATATAATTTAATAATATTATTTTCAAGTGTAAAACAAAATCATGAAATCAAATAATAAGATCCATAATAATCCAGCATTCTTCATCATTTCCTAAAACTATTTTTTATATTAATTATAAATAAATCATGTGGCTTTGGTGTTAACTTGGAAGTTGAAGATAAATTTAAATCTCCTCCATATTTTATTTTAATTTGAAAATTCATTTGAATTGAGAAAAGAAAAGGGCATAATTCCACATAATTGTTAACTGTACTTTGAAAATCAATCGTTTCATAAACAAAGTTTGTTCTAATTAGAATGTGGATAATTATTAATATTAATAAATAATAACAATATTGGGTTCATGTGGTGCTCTTTTGTTTTAATATTGGTTTCATATGAGAATATGTTAACTGTATAATATTAGGACAATATTGATGGACAATATAGAACACACATAAAAACCAATAAACCGCCACGATTTATTTTTATTGAGGGATATTACATTATTACCACAAAATTTCAACTTTTATTAAATAGGTGATATTGAATCAGTGGCAATTTTTTTATTTATTGCTCTTTCAACTAAAAGTTTAATTACCATTTTTAACGCTTAAGTATTAAACGAGACACACTTAAATCATTTTTGCGGTATAAAATTTTGAACAACTTAGTAGTTTCAGACAAAAAATTCAGGCTGTAGTACAAAAATATATTCACATTGCAATGAATTATTCTTGGCTCATATACTTTATAGCTTTGGCATGATTATTCAAATCGTATTTTCAGTACTAATTATATATTTATCATAGTTCATCCTTCATACACATTTTACATCTTCATTATATAATCTACTTCATCATGCCGCTTCATAAGTTTCATTAACTACGATCTAAATTAAATCACATTAACAATTTTTATAATTGCTAATAAAAGTAGATATAAATGATGACTTAGCAGTAAATTTAATTTATTTCCAGTTGTTTACGTTTACATGTGGCTTGTGGTATTCAGTTACTTCCAAATTGTTCGACAGGAAAATGAAAAAGGAAGGTATCAGCAACCTTATTACAGGCGATAGGGAAATAAAAGTTTTAATTTTTAAAACAGAGATCTGTAACAAAATTTACGGATTGCAGAAAAAAATTTGTTGCCTTGTCTTGTATAATTTAGCGATGATGGGCATTATTTTTTAATAATTTATCTGTGTAACAAATGCTGACTACGAAAGAATTTATATTCTTTCATATTGTGGTAATCTAGTTTTAAGACAGCACGCTTATTCTAAAATATTCACATTATCAAAAATAGATGTCTATTTTTCAAATTCAATGTGTTTAAAATCTCAACATAAAATACTTATATTTAAAATAATTAGTATAATATTTTTTATGTGTATTTTAAAAATCCAAAGAATATTATTGCTTCAAAAGCACTCTATTAGCTTTTTAGATATAATTCTAAAAAAATAAATATCTAATATAAATAATTAATATTAAATAGATTAAGCACAATGTTGAGTAAATGTAAGTTAAGTGTGATTTTATTAAATTTAAGTATACTTATTTTTATACAAAAACTAATTATAGAATATTTTTTTCCATGACAAATTTGTTTACAAATTGATTTCTAAATCAATTTATACTAAAATTGATGTATATGGATTTAAAAGTTAAAACAGGTTTCTTATATATTATAATAATAATCTTGGTTTTTCTTTTCAATAACTAGATGGATGCCTCCTAAAACTCTTCTTTGTTTTGAACTACATATTTTACCAAATATAATATTGTATAAATTGCTCCCAATATATTATTTTGTAAAGCTAAAGCGCTTAATATCTTTATAATTAAGTTTTGATTTTTTGTACAAATGCTATATGTGACAAATATACCTATAAGTATAATAAAAAAATTAACAAATATAAATTTGAAAATATTGCTAAAAAAGTTCTCATCAAAAATTTTTCGTAACTTAATGTTCAATTTAAACATTAAAATAATTATAATTTAATTTATATTAGTGCCATATGTGTACATAAAAATAATAAAAAACTATAACAAAAGTATACGTTTTAATAAACAATATGATTTTTAATCGCGGTTTGTGTAACCGTAAATCAATTATTCTGGCGACCATGAAAATATTCTATTTGTGCATAATTTTGTGAGTTATTTATTTTAGATATTAGGTTACAACACATTGTGTGTATCGAAATAAAAATTCTATTTGTAAAGCTGGCAAAAACAACGTTATTAAATATCAATGTCAAACGAGATAATTGCAGTCTATATATAAATACAGAAATAATTTCATTAAAAATCGATTAGTAAAATTCATATATAGGGCTTACAGTTTACTAGCAACAGATGATTCTTTTTGGTATTGGTAAATTATATATATAATCATTTTTTTTTTGTAAATTAAATATAATATGTTTAAACAATATCAGCTTGTATTTATGCAGTAATACTGACAAATGTTTGTTCCATTAATCATTTTGCTTAGTACATTTGCCTTTGTGTAAGGCATTTATTAGACCATGAATATGTATATATCTTGTCGAAATAAGTCGAGATATTTATTATAGAAGCTTTCATTAAGCACAATAGTAGCAAATGTCAATAGAGACATTAGGAGAAAAATATAACTCGTATCTGATTTTGGCTTTGGTTTTCGTATTAACTCGAGCATAAAATAGTTATGGATAATTAACGATTACTTGCTTTCGCTGTAATAATTTATACATTCGTATATACACACAAACACATACACACAGATATATATATATATATATATATATATATATATATATATATATATATATATAACAGGACAGCAACTAACAAACGCATGAAATAACACTGTAACAACTTCAAAAATAAGAATAAAAATCAAACTAAGATCACTAATTATAAAATAAAATATTATAATTAAAATTTCAATTTTGACGTTGCTGCAGTGCTTTCTCATAAGACAAATACATCTTAGAGACGCTTTGCAGAATCATGCTTTATTCAAATGTACAAAAATAGTATAAATAAGAGAAATGATACCTGTTTGCCTTGTGAAAACGATCAAGTATATTAAACAATTACACAAAATTATAATATATAAATTATATGATAAAAATAAAATACACAATTATATTATCTCAAACTACCTTAACTCTATAATAAAAAATATCTTCAATGTTTTAAAATTAACACGTTTTTTCAAATTATACCATCTCTAGTTTATTTTATTATACTAAATACTTTTCTTGCAGTGTCTGTAGCAACTAAAGTTAAAAATATAAAATTAAAGTTATAAGGTAAATGTATTGATACTGGTTGCATATTAGAATTCCAAATAATGTCGATTGCCAAGAGCATATGAAGTACTTCAAGTACCTAATTATCAATAGGAATATCATTTATCCATGTGATATTAAAATAATACATCGAGTAACCACAATGGTATCCGAAAGTTGTGTTTTCCTGTGGCGCATCATAACAAAGTTCTATTTTTGCAATAAGTGAATCAGAGAAAATCGAGAGGCGTAGAGGTGCGCGCATATGGTCGGTACACACGCGCCAATCTCGGGCTTAAAATAACAATGTCCCGATCGCATTTATTTTTGTTGGGAAGGACGATGGAATTTGCAAAGGGTACACATTAGGGATGGGAAATGGACAGATGATCGATGGTAAACTTGATACCTGATGTTTTACATATGTGTACAAACAGCTCGAATAAAATTATTTGTTAGTGAGTGCTTATTCAATTAATGACGTGTTTTAATTTTGTATTAAGTTTTTCATTATTGAAATATAAAGAATAAAGATGATAACCAACCATCGGCTTGATTTTTATGACGTTGCTAATTGTATTAACAATTTTTTCGGGTGAAAAACGAAGTTGCTCTCATTCGACTAATATTTATTTAAAAAGTACATTTATTATGAGTTTAATAAATCGCCACTGAATTTTTTGACCCCTTCGACTACTGGATTTATTTTATAGCAATCACAAAATCTTAATTTCTCGCAACGGGGAAATTGAAAACATTTTTGAAATCAAAAACAAGTTGCTCTGATTCGACTAATATTGTATGATTGTCTACTGCGGGATTTAGTGTCGTAACTCTTCATAAAGCCCGCGGGCGATATGTGCCTCATTACGCGTCTCTGAATTTTGACAGATGCGTACTTGTTAACTTCCCGTAGGGTAAGTTATTGTAATCTTCTAAAAATCGAAATTGAAATTTTTTACATTTCTTCATGTTTTGAAGGTTTCTGAACATTTTGGCATACTTCAGGAAAAATGGACGTGATTGTGTGTATGTATGAATACAATTTTTCATCCATGTTTTCCGGCCCACCGATTAATCGATTTGAATGGCTCAGAAAAAAAATTATTCATGTTGATAGGGAAATGTGCTGATTAGTTTTTGGCAAAGACAGGTCCAACCTCTTTAGAGATACGGAGCAAAGAGTGCAGAAAATAGAAAAGCTAAAGTTCTAAAGCTCACTTATATACTTCAAATAAATAATTTTAACTATGCAATTCAATTTATATAATTCTTATAAATATTAGCGAAGGCTCTTCATTTTAAATTCGATTGATTAACTTTTGTTTATTTACTTTTCTATAAATATATATATTTTTATGAAAATATAAATATTTTTAAAATCATCACACAGTGTGACAAATAAATGCACAGGCTCATCAACTGCATATCTACTAACATATTTATTTTTAATTATTTCTGTATCTTATTCTCAATTGTGTCTGAATATTTCCTTCACCGCCCTCTGTTTAAACGTTCCATTTATAGCAAGAAACGTGCAATAAATTGCTGCAAAATCAATATAGAACTATTTCAACTGTTCACGCAATAAGGTATAAGTATCAATTTCATATTACTTTGACGTATATATGCCATTGGTACTTCGAAGTATTAATTGCGACTGTCATGGCACTTTGGAAATATATACTATTTGGTTTGGATTATTTAAACTTCACTTGACTTTTATTTTATATTGGTATAGTTTAAAAAATCAAAATTAAAGTGAAAAAGATTTAAAAATACTAATCATATTTTTGAATATTTTTAAGAAAACGAAGACAAGAAGTTAAGAAAACGAAGAAACGAAGTAATTGTATTTACTAAAGTATTGAAGGTATAATATCCTTTAGGTTGGGACGATTTAATTTATGGCTGTGACAACAAAACTTTTTTGGCCAAATTATGTGGAAACAAAGTACGTAAAATAACCAATAGAAATATTTGTATATATATATATATATTATATATATATATATATATATATATATATATATATTCGTACAAAAACTGGAGCATACTATATAAAATCATAATACAGAATCAGTGTTTACAATCCAGAACTAAAGAAAATGTATAGAGTTTTCAAATATACTTACTTATACCCCGTATCTTCAAAACTGCTGGACCTGCCTTTTTAAAGAAGTCGCATCAGTACAAACCGAATGATTTTTGAATTATTCGAATCGGGCACTCCGTTTTCTCAAAATTGCCGATCTTATGACTTTTTACCCCATATCTTCGAAACGACTTAACCTGCATTTGCCAGAAACTAATCAGCAGGTCTCTATCAATACAAATCGAATGGTTTTGGAATCATTCAAATCGAATGATCCGTGTTCTCCAAATCGTGGACGAAAAGTTGTATCCAAACATACACACATGTATACTACAAACACATACACGCACACATACAACCATTTTTTCTAAGGTATGTCAAAATGTTCAGAAGACTTTGAAACGTAAAGACATATAAAAATATTAAATTTTAAATTTGTTAATAAATATTATTGGGCACAAAAAAATGACAAAATCTACAATTCACAATTTAGGATGAATTGTAGCAACTTGTCCCGTCGTGAAGTCAAATATCAATTTCACCAATATAAAAGAACTATTTATTACAACCGGGTACTACAAAGGATATCACGAAACCTTGATTCACCCCTTATCAAGATCAAAAAGAAAAATATCCGCCCATTGGGCCCTTTTTCCCTATTTCCCCCGATGCACACTCACGCATAATATGCATATGCATGATTCCACGATCTCCTTTGAGTTGTGATAATAAATGTTATCGTAACGAAGTTTAAAGCACGCTGGGGAGCGATCTATGGAAAGGAATTTCGATATATCGAAAGCCGGTATGAAAAATTAGGGGAGGCCGGAATAGAAAAAGATGAAATACCCACGATATGCCGACGGATGGTATTTGTTGGAATTAT